CCCCAAAACCCCAAAACCCCAAAACCCCTTTTGCCTTTAAATAAATTGAAATTGAGAGATTACCAAAAGAGTTTCATGAGTGTTCAGCATGCCCTTCTCTTCTTTCTCCCTTTGGCAATGTTGTCAGGGACGTTGTAGACTTCAGGAGGGAATACTAACTGTCCTTTTTGCTTGATCGATACATTACATTGTAGGAGGAAGAAATAGAAAGGGTGTGATAAATCATCAAAGAAATCAAACTCATTGTGATCCATGTGTGCTGGTAAGACTAAAGTTCAAGGCCCACCACATTTTTCATGCAGTCTTTCTGAATGGCTATACGGTATCAACTCATCTTGCTGCCCATGAATCAGGAAGGTCGGGCACTTAACATAAGACATCATTTCCAAATTATTGAACCTCTCTGCAACCAAATACTGTGTGAAATACCCTGAGATATGTTTGACTACGCCTCTAATAGAGGTATATCCGCTCATTAACAATAAGGCGCCTGGTTCTTTACCAGCGGCTAGCTCAGTGGCAGGTCCAGTGCCAATACTTCTGCCAAAAAGGATGATATCTTTGGGTTTCCAGTCACACCTATCAGTAATGAACTCGAACACTGTATTGGCATCTTCTAAAATGTCCTTTGAGTTGGGTGTCCCAGGGTAAATCCCATAGCCTGGGAACTCAACGGCGATTACATGTAGCTTCAATGTGTTCCTGATGTGATTAAGCAACTGGTAAGCTTGACCGAGGTCTTCAGCATTTCCATGAAAATAAATCATAATTTTAGTAGAACCTTGTGTGTAAGGCAGGAACAAGCAGGGAATATACTGCTTCTTGGACTTTTTATTTCCTGTTTCACGAGGTTTGAAGTGGCCTATATGGCATCATTAGCATACAAAGGATAAAAAAGAGTTTGTTTAATGAAAAACAGGTGTAATTAAGAATTTAGGGCTCCTAATCTGATGTATTATTTACCATCTGATGTTCTTCGAGGAATATAAATTAGATCTTTTTCAAATGCCTTCTGATCGTAACTACTGTTAGGGGCAGGAAAGATCAAGGTATTTAACTCCATATTTTTGAATTTTTTAATAAATATTTTAGAACAAATAATAAAATTTTAGGGGATATAAAAATATTTTCTTTCAAAGATTTAAATTTCAATATTTTATACAAAAACTGGGGTTTTGGGGTTTTGGGGTTTTGGGG